GTTAATTTGAAAGGACTGTTTTGTTCTGCACCTGTCCTCTCCCACCCTGATTCCACAGCTCAGTTTATCGTCGAGGTTGACGCATCTGATTGTGGCGTCGGTGCAGTTCTCTCCCAGCGTTCTTCTTCGGACCACAAGCTCCACCCCTGTGCCTTCTTCTCTCGTCAGCTCAGCCCTGCAGAGAGGAACTACGATGTGGGCAACCGGGAACTGCTCGCTGTGGTCCTCGCGTTGAAGGAATGGCGACACTGGCTGGAGGGCTCTGCTCAGCCTTTTGTGGTATGGACTGACCACAAGAATTTGTCCTACCTTCGTTCTGCCCGCAGGCTGAACGCTCGCCAGGCTCGATGGGCACTTTTTTTGGGTCGATTTAACTTCACCCTTACCTACCGTCCTGGATCCAGGAACACGAAGCCTGACGTTCTCTCACGCAGGTTTTCTGCACTCAGTGGGGAGAGGTCTGAGGAGACTATCTTACCCTCTTGTGTGATCGGTGCTGCCAGTTGGGAGGTGGAGAGAACGGTTCAGGAGGCTCAGGTCAGTCATCCCACACCTGATGCTTGTCCTCCAGAGCTGCTGTTTGTTCCGCCGTCTGCTCGGTCCAGGGTACTCCAGTGGGGTCATGATTCTAAGTTAGCCTGCCACCCTGGATTTCACCGCACTCTGGCCCTAGTCAGACAACGCTTCTGGTGGCCCTCTATGTCTTCGGATACTAGGGAATATGTCTCTGCCTGCTCCGTCTGTGCTCGGAGTAAGGCGTCTCACCGTGCTCCAGCCGGCCTTCTCCGTCCCCTGCCTATTAAGCATCGTCCTTGGTCCCACATAGCGGTGGATTTTGTAACTGGCCTGCCACCGTCTGAGGGTAACACCACCATTCTGTCTGTTGTTGACAGGTTCTCTAAATGTGTTCATTTTGTTCCGTTGCCCAAACTTCCCTCTGCACTTGAGACTGCAAACTTGCTGGTTCTGCATGTTTTCAGGTTACACGGACTACCCCAGGACATTGTGTCTGATCGAGGGCCCCAGTTCGCCTCTCGGGTTTGGAAGGCTTTTTGTAGAGCCTTGGGGGCGTCTGCAAGCCTGTCATCGGGATATCATCCGCAGACCAATGGCCAGACTGAGCGAGCTAACCAGGATCTTGAGGCGGCCATGCGTTGTGTCACGGGACGTTTCCCGGCTTCCTGGTCTACACATGTGCCGTGGATCGAATATTCCCACAATTCATTGGTCTCTTCGGCTACTGGTATGTCTCCGTTCATGGCCGCCAATGGTTTTCAACCTCCACTGTTTCCTTCCCAGGAGGCTTTAGTGACTGTTCCTTCTGTGCAACATCATCTGCGTCGTGCCAGACAGGTGTGGCGGGAGGTCAGGGCTGCTCTCTCTCGGACGGCCGCTCGGAACAAACGGATTGCTGACTGCCGTCGATCTGCGGCTCCGGACTACAGGCCTGGTGAGAGGGTGTGGCTTTCCACCAGGGATCTCCCCCTCCAGGTGGAGTCTCGTAAGCTGGCTCCAAGATATGTTGGTCCTTATGAAATTGAGCGTGTCATAAATCCTTCTGTGGTGAGGCTTAAGTTGCCCAGGTCCTTGAATGTTCACCCTGCATTTCATGTGTCACTGCTTAAACCTGTGGCTTCGAGTCTCCTCAGCCCGCCGGCCGTGCCCCCTCCGCCCCCCCGTGTCGTTGGCGGTGGTCCGGTCTATTCTGTTCGGCGCATATTGGATGTGCGGCGGCGTGGGCGGGGTTTCCAGTTTTTGGTTGATTGGGAGGGGTACGGTCCGGAGGATCGCTCTTGGGTGTCGCGATCGATGATCCTGGACCCTGCTCTATTATCTGATTTTTACGCCTCGCATCCTGGCCGGCCTGGGGGTCCGCCGGGTGGCGTCCGTTGAGTGGGGGGTACTGTTGGGTTTGGGTTTTGCTCTGCCTCCCCCCTCCCTTTCTGTTGTTTTAAAGGCATGTGAGAGACCGGGGGCGTGGCTGGCTCAGCAGCAGGTGTGTGTGGGCTCACACACCTGTTCCTCATAATCACCCTGGCTTCAAGTACCTGGTTGGAACTTCACGTCGCTGCCAGATTATACTATGTCAGACGTCAGTATACAGCAACAGTCTGAGTTTGTGCTTTGCGGTTTGTCTTATGGTTTTTTTGTGTCCTGTGTTCAGGTCCTCCTTTTCCTGACCAGCCAGCCAGCTCCCTGTCTCAACCGCCTGCTTTAAGTTTATTCGTTTTTGTAAAGTAAATCCTCTTATAATTTCGCTCTGTCTCCGTCTCTGCTTTGGGGTCCAGAACACTCCCGTAACAAATATTTTCATTTGAGATGTCATTTTTTACGTGACTCGAACATGAACAATCACGTTTGACCTTTTCTGAACAACAGGCGAGTTATTCTTATTCAATAAAGCCATGGCCGTGATATCCACCGGATTTATGATCACATTTGTGGATTATCAGAGAGCAGAGGTTTTCCATAGTTTTGAGGCAATTTGTTCTTCTCTTTTTTATTTTTTTTTATTTTTATGTTTTTAAATGAAAGCCCATACACAGTTAAGTAGTTTTCACTATTTTCTAGATCAACTCCAGCAGGTGGATTGCATCAGTAACCAGTGCTTGGGAACTGCATGTGTGTCAGGCAGGTTAGGTTCAGGCCACAACAGTTGTATTGTAATTGTGTAGACTTTATTAGACCACAAAGAGTGCACATAACATACTGTCTCTTTCTGTCATTCTTCAAAAAACTGCATCCAATTAGTTTCAAAGCCATGAGCAAATATCACGGGTTTTTATTTTTATTTTTTTACCATTGACGTTTCATTAAGAGAACCAATTACTCTGCGGCAGTAATTTTCCTCTCGCAGTGCAGTAAACACAGAATTAGCCTTAAACAACAGGACTGCAACCAGATGCCTTTGTTAAAACGGAGTAATTAAAGTGGATTAATTAGAAGTGTTGCAGGTGTAGGGCTGGTGACGTCATCTCTGTGTAACGGGAGCTCCATAACCAGGCCAGGCCGAACCAGGACTCTGCCGTTCACGAACAATTATACATTACAATCAATTTCTCTAAACATTCCCAGGAAAAAGACCCAGGCAAAGCTAAGGCATGTGTTTATTCATTATCACAGGTTATGTGTGTTTTAATTTGTCCAGGTATTTCAGGCAGCTCCCAAATACAATGTGAAACCATGTGTAAATATTTCATCATGCAGCTGCTTGAGTGTTGTATAACGCTGAGGAGATGCCTGTTTGACTGTTAGTGCGCCATAATAAATGTTTGATCAGCTTTAGAGGTGCCTTCAAACTTTTAAGTGGCAACATCCAAAATTGTATAATGCGTTAAAAAGCCTTAGCAAATAAAAGGAGAAATGACAGCAGAGAAGAAACAGCGATGTCGCCCTCTGCTGGTGGGATCGGTGCATCACATCAGTGTCACCGAGTGAAGTTTGTCCTTGTTTTGGAACACTAACAAAATGGTTTGAGTTATGCTGTTTTGCAATTAATCTATTTCATAAAAGAGGGTCCATAATGATCGTGTTGGGGAAAAAAAACATTAGATTTTTTTAAAACCCCATAACTGATTATTATAATGTATCCCTTTGAATTATAGACTTATGTATAGTAAGGTAGCTATAGTAAGGTAATCTATTTTGATGATAGATAGATAGATCACCACCACCATGTGTGGGATAAAGGAATAATTAAGAGATCCTTTATTCGTCCCATGGCGTGCAAATTTCAGTGTTGCATCACAAGTTACAGAAGAGTGGGAATGAGGAGCACACAGTACAAGTGAACAATAACTACTACAGTTTTTATCAGTCGCTTTGGTGCATTTCTCACATCAGACTCAAACAACATTGAGTCATTTGTGCACATCTTCGCAGCAGTTTTTCATTCCTATGAACATTATTATTATCTTCGGTCCTGTCAGTCAAAATGAAACATACTTATCACTTCTGAATAGTCTTTCACTATAAAACCAACTGTCTTCATTTCATCGCTTTGGTCTCACAAACAAAACTGTTGGACTAGTTCAAAACTAATATCTGTCAAACTAACTTCATACATTCTTTTATCTTTTTTTTTGTTGATCTCTCCTAAATTGAACAATGTCTCATGAAGAGGTGTGTGTTTTATTGATTATAAATGTCACAGTTCTACCATAATGATATTCTGTATGTTTGTTCTACGTAAATACTGTGAGTATATTTTTGTTGCACAAGGCTGTAGAATTGTAAAGAGCATATTCAGTAAATATGTGAAAGACATACAGTACATACATATACATACATATATATATATATATATATATATATATATATATAATGTGTGTGTGATACATTATTATTCTGAGACACAGACAGTTTCATTGACATAAAGACTTGCTTTTGAAGAATTAACTTTTCATTTTGAGAAAGTGATGCACTTTTGCAGGTTATCCACGAGGTTCTGCAGTTTGTCCTAATTGTTCTGAGAAATGCACAAACTGTTGTGCAAATGTGAAGAATGATGTGAGAAATGCACCAAAGTGACTGAGAAAAACTGCAATTAAAATAAAACAAAATCTCTAACTCTAGCATCAAAGAGACAAGTATAACATCTTTAGCATAGTCAAGAAGTATCACAATTTCACATTTGGCAAAATAAGAGCCGAGTATAATGTACTGTGTATTCTAGTGCAAGCAATATTGACATGTGAAGCCTCTTTGAGACTAGATGGATACAATAGATAGATAGATACAGTAGATAGATAGATACAGTAGATAGATTGATACAGTAGATAGATAGATAGATAGAAATTTGGTTGAGCTTGAATGAAAATCCAAAATATTGAGAGAAATATATCTTAGTAACTCTCCCCCACCCTAGGCCTAGGTTCATCTGTTTGAAGGTGTCATCTGTATTAATTATACACAATGAGATCATTAAATGGCTAAAAACACAGTTCTCGTCCAAACAGCACGAGTTCCACCAGAGCCGTGTGTAACGGAGACAGCGGAGCATGAATTCACAATGGGAGTCTTTGACCTGCTGTAAGGTCACCTCCCTGGACCCGCCTGGGGTTCTGATTGGACCCGTGTCTCAATCATTCATCACAGACTCAGATATTAGCAGAGTTCCCCTTTGACAGAACCAGAGTCTGTTCACGTCTCTGTGAGGGGTGAGTCGCTCTTCCTCCTTTTGCACCAGGGACGGAGAATATGAGGGTCATCAAGAACATGAGCTCAGAATACACAGTTTATAACCAAATGAGGAAATAGGAGTTTGAATTCAGCATTTTATCGTGATTGCAATATATTTGAAGAAGATTGAGTTTTTAAGAATATCCACGTTCTTATCTGTGCAATAATAATGTCCATCCACTCATCAGTCATATCCAGCACTGTCTAATATCAGCCAAAAGTCAAACAGTCAAATAATAACATTTCTATCTACTTATATTATGAACCAAACACAAAGAACTAACATCTTTCTGCTAAAGTACAGTGTGAAATCCACAAGTGCCTTTACAGCCAGAGTTTATTACAGTGTTGTTTTATTCTGTCATTAATTTGAGCAAATGATAATGGTAGAAACAGCAGAGAATCGTACAAAAGTAACTGATACATGTCCAAATGATGTACGAGGATGTCACACATGACTCAATGTTGTGGAGGTTTGAACAGTTGTGAGAACTGAGAAAATCACCAAAGCGACTGAAAAAACGGGATTATAAATGTGGACAAGCATCCATCCAACTGCAGCGCAGCGGCTGGAACACAGAACGGTCCTGTTTGTCAGCTCCCTCCACAGTCTTCAGCCGCACTCCCAGGACCCTCCCAGGACCCTCCCAGGAGGCTCCTCGCAGACACACTGAGGCCCCTGACTCCACCACAGCTGAGCCCACCTCACACATGTGTCCCACCTGGATTTACCACCAACAACATCTGTAGCTCCATCCAGCTCACCATGACGGGACACCAGCGACTGTGTTTGTAATCCAGACTTTGCAGATTAGAAAAACACTTCAAGCTTTCTCGTGTGGTGACCAAATGAACCAGCCTCTGTTAATAACTTCAAATGTATTCAAGGTTTGAAAAAATGCATGTTTTTGCCAGCTGGCCCTGTCCCAGTGGCAAGAGGGTCCTGGGTTTGATTCCCGGGTCAGCCCTACTGCTTCAAACATGTACAATAGACAGATAGATAGATAAATAGATAGGCTGACAGAGAGACAGACCCAGAGACAGATAGATACTTTATTGATGCCCTTTAGGAGAAATCCAGGTGTCTCGCAGCAGAAACACATCTATCCATACAATCAAATAAATACATAGTAAACAGTGAATGAGTGCAGGTTTGTGTGTGTGTGAAGCAGACTACTTTCTGGCATTATTTACAGCACTCACTGTTCATTCATGCTCACTGTCCTCTTCAAAACCACAACAAAACGATCGCATTACAATGTACATTCACTCACACTAACCCATTCACAGAGAGATACTTACATTTTATATAGGGCCATGTTACACTAACAGGACCAGCAACGAGGCAACAGTCACAAAGCATCCCAAACTCAAAACAATTCTTCTGAAAGGACCTGTATTTTAATTGGGTGAGTCTGTAAACCCAGGTCATAAGGTTAGACATGGGGCTATAGTCTTACAGTCAATAATCCCTTGCTTATGTCTGCGTGGCCTGGGGTTAAACGTGTCAAAATGAATGCTCACTCTCACATGCACTCACAGCTATAGGGGCCACTTTAAAGAATCCTTTTGGAGAAACGCAATTTGATCAGGTGCTCATTCAATCTGGAGTCCTCCCCCTACGAACAGAGAAGAGACAAGCTTAACACAGCACAAGTTATAGCCCCACAAAGTGACTACTGAAAAGCTTTTTGCTCCATTGCGTTTTAAACATTTATGCTGTAAGAAACACAGTAAGGACACAATAGACTGCCTACCTGTCAGTCAATCTTTCTCTATCAATAAATCAGCCATAATTATCAGATTACAAGGCGCGCTGAAGCAGAGAGCAGAGTGCGTTTGCTGACCTGCCTGTCAAAGCCTCCAAATGAGCACATCAGCCCAGACAAAGCCTGTCATTTTAAAACAAACTCATAAAGAGAAGAACGCCAAGTGATCAAAGAGCGCCACAACAAAGATTATACATGCTATTTGTGCGAGTCAGAATACATCAAGGATAAGAACTAATTTGGATATATCTTTTATCTAATATTAGCACAATTATTTATCACTTCATCCATCACTTCAAATCAAAAGTCTTATAATAATATGACTGAACAACGTTACCTGTCGTTCTCCATCAGCTCCACCAGGTGGCAGCATTTGAACATTGAGTTTCTCGCTCCATAAATTGTCATGTTAAAATGTAGTCAAGATTATGGCCTAAATAAATTCAAAGCCTGTAATTAAGGATTGCTTGGAAGTTGGCCAATTGGCTTGGATCACAAAAGGCTTGTGGATGTGTGTTTTTGACTGAAACAAAAAGTGGCCACAGTATTTATGTTTCCATTGAATACAGCTCTGTTTAATCAAAAACCTTCTCATCACAAGTTTAAAAAAATGGTTCATAAATCAATGTTAATTTAAAAAGCAACAATGTTTCAATCATTGATTAGTTTTAATGACTCAATAACTCATCCGCCTTCATAAATACATGTGTGTCACCTTTCAGTATCTTATGTTAGAGCTATTATGTTGAGCAGAGGTTCAACTGGTATCAACTTTATTCATCAACTGCAATTTCATCCCTTGATTATTCTGTTAATTCTTATAATGGCCTAAAACCACACAAAGCTGGCGCACACAGAGCGGACAAAGCAGATCTGAGTTCCCATGTGGCAGTGCACTCTGACGGTACACACTGAGGAGAAATCTTATGTATGAGTGTGTTCACAGTTAAGTGTCAATTGAAGTATCTCGACTTTAAAAGGTTATAACTTAAAAACTAAAATTACTATCATAGATTGGAAAAAAGATTTCAAACACAGACACATCAAAGAGATAGTGTGGATAAAATCAAAAGGAAAGATTGTCAAATATATTTTTGGTGACATTTTAAACGACAAAATCAGCCTCTTTTTTGACCATTCTACTGTGACGCCAGTTACAGAGAAAATAAAATGTCCTCAGTCTGAAAAAGCGGCAGATGAAATCCCACAAGATTTACATGGTTAACACAACATCAGGAAATCACTTGATATGAAAAGGAATCGTTAAAAAATAATTAATTAATTAAATGACCCTTGAAAAATGTATAACGGACGTGATGGTTTCCGTCCCCTTTTCTCTAAAATTTTAACTTGAGAAAGAAAAAAATTCTGTCTGGTTTCACATTTAATTGGTTGACTAAATGAAAGTATCACTTTGTTTCTACTTTGTGTAAAAAAATAGAATCTCTGAATCAAATGTGGACATCTGAAAATACCTATCAAACTTCCGCAAAGCTCATTCCGTCAAATCATCACGTCCGTTATATAAGATAAACAGGGCTGCTATAGGAAACTTGTCTAATGTATAAAACAGTTATGTTCTAGCAACTAAAGGACAGAGGAGGTGCTTGGAAACATGAAAAACATAAAATATCTTCTGATTATTCAAATCTAATTTTTGGCCTTTTGTCACACTTTTGTGCCCTTTAGTGTGAACTAGCCCGTATTCATACTTCTTTTTAAACATGTATGTAGCACGCTGATGTTTTGTTTGAAAGAATAAAGTGGGACGATTACTCAAGACATTAATATCTATGGATTACTCAATAATAGCCTTTAATCACTCTACAAAAAAGGCTATTTGTATTGTGTCAAATGTCCATTATAGACGTCAATAAACCCACTGTTCATAGATTTAGGAGAACTGAAACTGCAAGACGTGATTATATTTAAAACAGTGTTCCGGGCGTCTGAAAACTCTGCCATCTAAGTTACAGAACCTTTTCCATGATCGAGATGCTCATCATAATTATAGACTTATAGGCGTTAAAAAAGTGTATATGCCTAAATGGGAGGAGCCGCTGTTTGGAATGATTTATCAGATGAATTAAAGACCGGCTCAAACCTGGTCACATTTAAAAGAATGTTGAAAAAAGATTTATTGAACAAAAATGTGGAAGTTAGAGAGTGATTCCTTGAGCACTGAGCGAGTAGTGGGAGAGAGGTGTAGGGTCGGAGAGTGTTTGGGCCGGTGTGTGTTGTCAGTGTGTGTGTGTGTTTAGTGTTGTCTGTCTTTTACCATCTGTGGTAGTACACTGTTTGTAATGTACCGTTGTATGTTTGAGAATTCTACTGCATAATTTTGTATCGATAAAATATGTATTGTGCATGGTTCGAAAATAACCGAATTGGGAAACAGACAAAGCGGATAAAGATGAATAATTACTTAATAACTGAAATAATTGATAGCTGTTGTTTTAGTTCATTGTTAAAAATAAAGTGTCATCTCAGATTGTGATTGTATGTTTTAAATGGTTTCTTCTAGTCATGGTCTGTGTTTTTCCTGCACGGTTTATATTATGAATTATGAGACATAACTTTTGGAATATGTAGGATGTACTTTTTGCTTTAAGCCTTTTTATGCGCCAATTGTTTTACTTTTTCACCCAATAATCAGTCTGAAGGCACCACATGAAACAATACACTCAATGGTTTTAGAACAAACCCAGAGATAACCTGCCACCTCTGTCAGATGCGCTGTCCATGGTGCTGAACGGAGCTAACAAAGCATGTGTCTTCACCGGGACCACCTGCTCCTCTGTGGGTCAATACAAACATGGGCTACGCTTTCCATTCCACTGAGCAAAATGAATTAAATAGCCAACGTTTCTTTAAATATTTGGCAGAACTTGAGAATATATATTTGCAGGGATGAATGTAATCAATGCAGAACAATGGCTGGTTCAATACATAACAATTAAACAAAATGTAGTCTACTTTTAACACAAATTTGAGAGTGTCAGAATCAGTCACATCAATACCACAGTAACTATACAACACCATGCACGCATACATGTTGTTATTTACGATATCTCAATGAATGTGAACGATACCAAATGTAAAACACAAACATACTGAGTGAATATTGGTCAAGGCCTTTTGTTGTCTTACCCGCTGTGGCCTGAAGGTGGTGCTAAATATCAAGAAACGTCAGCAAAGATGGCTCGTGTGTGCTTCTGGATTTATATGATATACTTGTAATCTTTTAATGTATGCAATTAAAGAAGAAATAGTCTTGTCTTAATTCTCGGGGCAAATGGTCTCTTTTTTAGCGACACTTTGCAATGAACCGGACCACCCTCTGAGTCGTAAAGCCGCCTGGAGTCTCCAAAACAGACTGACGAAGACCTCTTTATCTCTGAATTATGAATATTTAAACATTTAAATTTGACAGATTAATTTGTATTTCGGTCCAAAGCGAGAGAATAAAGATGGATCTCTTGTGATATCATAGTTGCAGGCCTAAAGATGTCATTTCTAATCTCGTAAGTGCCATTGTTGCGCGTGCGTAATCATCCTCACGTTAATGGCGACGTATTTGGAGCCACACTTTTGTCATTGTGTGTGTTGCGATGGAGTCATCTGGAACAGGTGGAGAAAAGTCTTGGTAGATTTGTGCGGAAGGTCATCGCGTTGATTGCAGTGCGTGGTGTGTGTGTGTGTGTGTGTGTGTGTGTGTGTGTGTGTGTGTGTGTGTGTGTGTGTGCGCGCGCGTTGCATCACGAGGACCAAGCGCTACAGGTGGGGCCCCTATCCATCTCACACAGCGTGGGAGTGAGCAAGTCGAGCTAAATCGATAAAAAAACGTGAATTATTAAGAGTTTCCTCGCTTGTCACGCATTATATCTTGGAGGTAGAATTTTGTTTTCTAAGTTTCCCGGGCCTTCCACGCACGCACACACGCACACACACACACACACACACACACGCACACACACGCCCTGGCTGGAGTGCTCATTAGTTAGTGCAGTGATGCAGACTAGCCCTG